TTCCGCTGCTGTCAATGGGGAGTCTAGATCCTCTTCTTCATTTTTCTTTCAAACTTTGCAATTTTCTTGTATAAATTGAAGGTTACAGACTCTAGGTAGTTGATTACGCCCTTTTTTTTTTGTCTGCAACACAACATCAAACAAAAGAAATAAATAATTTAATAGAACTTGTTTCATACCTAGTGATGAATGTTCTTCTTTGGATCTTGATTCGAAAGCACGAATAGTTGTACTCCTTGTTCACTTTTCCAGCAGCACTTTGTTGCTTTTGGTATTTTCTCTCAAAGTTTCTCTATTTTTTTGCAAAGTATCCCCTCTTTTTTTTTTGTCTTCCTCTCTTGCTACAGCTGATGCCTATTTATAGGCATCCTATGAAGGCTCTAGAGCTTGTTACATAGGGGGAGATGGAGACCATGACCTCCTGCCACTTTCTCTTAACCTCTCCCACCAACTGTGCAATTTTCCACGCCTTGTAGAAAAATAGGAGACCCTGTTGCATGTTACTTCCCCATTTTGTAGGAAGAAATACATATTTTCTTTTCTTTTTATTTTATTTATGGATGTTGATCTATATGTAAAGCCCATCCTCTTTTTTTTTTTTTGGGCTGGATTATATCTTTTGTTTTGTCTTGTAGTTTGACCCAATTTGTATGGACTCTATTTTTTTGGGTAAATTACATAGTAGTCCCTCAGGTTTTAGGTCTATTGCAATCTTATACAACATCTTTAAAACATTTCACTTTCATACCTCAAGTACTATTTTATTTCAATTTCATACAACCGTTACATTTTCCATCCATGGATCTGTTAAATGCTGACGTGGCTGCCACATATATGCCATGTGGCTGCCAAATGTTTGCCACGTGGCAAATAAAATAATTTTTTAATTTTTAAAAAAAAACCTGTTTGCCACATATCTTTTTTTTTCTTCTTCTTCTTCTTCTTCTGGGTTCGGTCCCTTTTTTTTTTTCTCTCTTTCTTCTTCTCTTTCTTCTTCTTCTTCTTCATTCTGGGTTTGGTCCCTTTCTTTTATTTATTTATTTTTTTTTCTTCTTCTTCTTCTTCTTCTTCCTCCTCCTCCTCATTCTTCTCTTCTTCTTTTTCCTCCTTCTTCTTCCCCCTTCTTCTTCTGGGTTACAGGGGGTTCGATCATTCTTTTTTTTTTTTTCTTCTTCTTCTTCTCTCCTCCTCCTCTTTCTTCTTTCTCTTTCTTCTTCTTCCTCTTTCTGGTTCGGTCTTTTTTTTTTTTTTTTTCTTCTTCTTCTTCTTCCTCCTCCTCCTCCTCTTTCTTCTTCTCTTCTTCTTCTTCCTCCTTCTTCTTTCTGGGTTCGGTCCCTTTTTTTCTTTTTTCTTTTCTTCTTCTTCTTCTTCCTCATCCTCCTCCTCTTTCTTCTTCTCTTCTTCTTCTTCCTCCTTCTGGTTCGGTCCTTTCTTTTTTTTTCTTCTTCTTCTTCTTCTTCTTCCTCCTCCTCCTCTTTCTTCTTCTCTTCTTCTTCTTCCTCCTTCTTCTTCTGGGTTCGGTCCCTTTCTTTTTTTTTTCCTTCTTTTTCTTCTTCCTCCTCCTCTTTCTTCTTCTCTTCTTCTTCTTCCTCCTTCTTCTTCTGGGTTCGGTCCCTTTCTTTTTTTTTTCCTTCTTTTTCTTCTTCCTCCTCCTCTTTCTTATTCTCTTCTTCTTCTTCCTCCTTCTTCTTCTGGGTTGCAGGGGTTCGGTCCATTTTTTTTCTCTTCTTCTTCTTCTTCTTCTTCTTCCAATTTCAGGTCTTTTTTTTAAAAAAAAAAAAAATTATTTTATTTGCCATGTGGCAGACATTTGGCAGCCACATGGCATATATGTGGCAGCCACGCCAGCATTTAACAGATCCATGGATGGAAAATGTAACGGTTGTATGAAATTGAAATAAAATAGTACTTGAGGTATGAAAGTGAAAAGTTTTAAAGATATTGTATAATATTGCAATAGACCTCAAACATGAGGGGCTACTATGTAATTTACCCTTTTTTTTTATATGTTATATATTTTTGTTGTTCAACACTCCCAGTTTGGTTCTCAACCATTTTCTTCCAACTCAAGAAAATGCTCAATACCTCACTCTTGTGCTTCATAGTGTAGACCAAAGACCTTCTAGAATAATCATCAACAAAGGTCACGAACCAATGTCTACCACTCAAAGAGGGAGTCTTTGTAGGACCCCAAACATCTGAATGCACATAATCAAGAATGCCCTTCGTCTGATGTATTGCAGTACCAAACTTCACTCTAGTTTGCTTCCCCAAGACACAATGCTCGCAGAAATCAAGCTTACAAGTTGTGGCACCTTTGAGAATACCTTGTTTCACAAGCCCTTGTAGAGCTCTCTCATCGACATGGCCTAATCTCATATGCCACAGTTTAGTAGTATCTAAATCAGATGTGCCTATATTTTCTGAGACTACAAATACTTCACTTGTCAATGTGCTTCCTTGCAATAGATACAAATGACCACATCAAGGAGCTTTCATCACAACAAATACACCATAAGTAACTTTCAAGTCTACCCATCTGAATGAAACCTGAAGCCCTTGGATTGTAAAGAGCCCAAAGAAATAAGATTTTTCTTCAAATTCAGTACATACTGAACACCTGTTAACTCTTTAACCATATCATCATGCAACTTTAAACGAACTGTACCGATCCCTTTTGTTGTGCAAGGATTGTCATCTCCCATGAAAACAACACCACCATCAAACTCTTTCAAGCTTGAAAACCAATCTTTGTAAGGAGTCATATGATGAGTACAACCCGTATCCAATACCCACTTAGTAGCACAATCAAATGATGAGGAAACGGTTAAAGCAAAATCAGAAAAATCATTTTCAAGCTCAGCAACATTAGCTTCAGAACTCACTTTGCCTTTGGCCTTTAACCTAGGACAATATTTCTTCCAATGACATTTATTATGACAAAAAGCACATTCATCCCTTTCCAGACTTTTTCTACCTTAACAAGTTCCTCTAGGTCGAGAAAGTGTTTTTTTCTTACTAGAGAAAGATCTCCTCTCTGATGATCTACCTCTAACAAATAAAGCTTCAGAGGTACTATCATGATTTTATCTCTATACCTCATTTCATAATTCATCAAGGCATTTGATACATCTTCAAATTTCATAGTTTCTTTACCATGCATAATAGTGGTAACAAAATGCTCATAAGAGTCTGGCAAGGAATTCAATAATATTAAGGCCTTATCTTCATCCTTAATATCCTCATCTAAATTCATCAAATCGGCAATCAACTTATTAAAAGCATTAAGGTGTCTAATCATTTTTGTACCTTCTTTATATTGGAAGTGGTAGAGCTTTTTCTTCAAGTGTAGCCGATTCTCCTCACTCTTCATCATGTAGTTGTTTTCTAATTTTTGCCACAACACATTTGCCAATGTCTCCCGCATCACAACATATTTCTGAGTTTTTGCAAGGCACAACCGAATTGTGGAGCAAGCCCACAAATTTAATTTCTCCCATTCTGACTTCGACATAGCTTCCGACTTATCTCCCAAAGCGGCAAGTAGATCTTGTTGAGCCAACACATCCTTGACCTCACATTGCCACATCCCGAAGTTGTTTGTGCCAGCATATTTTTCCACTTCAAACTTTGAATTTTGCACCGTAGTTCTTGCAAATCCGGAGTTGCTTCCAAAAGGATTCTCATATTGCCCATCTGACATCTTTAGCAACTAGACGGTATCCAAGAGCAACCAACCAACTCAAGCTAACCCACAGATAATATATCAAATGAAATGCAAGAACAAAATATAAAAGACACCAAGATTTTAACGAGGTTCCTCATCAGTCAGTATAACTGGAGTACGTCCTCGAAGCAATAGGAGCTCACCCAATAATCCATTATCAACCAAATGGGAGTTTACAAAGTGTTGGCAATCTCACAACCAAAAACCCCAATACACCCAATGATTCTCACTCTCCAAAGAAACAAATAGATAAGGAAATATAGTGAATAATTTCCCCTCTATACAAAGCTTAATGCTAATACACAAATGCAACTTTGATTGAGTGAATACTAACAAAGAAAGAAAATCACCTTTCTTTCTTCTCTTAAAAATTGGGGGCTGCGACACCTTTTTTTTCTCAGCTGCTGCTGCCAATTAAAAACCCTAAACGCCACCCTGTGGCTTTCACATGGGCGAAGAAAAAAGGTCTTTTAAATGGGTTGTTGGGCTTCCACGTAAAAGGCCACTCCAATTTGGCCTTATATTCAACAGTATGTAACGACACAGCGAGACGAAGATAGGGTCAGGCGATCGAAGGAGAATCGTACAGAATGGGTGGAGGGGACAACGTTAAGGTGCCGCGGGGCGGGGCTGGGGGGGAAGCGACGGCGAAATCGTCCAATTAAGCCATTGATGGCGAAGTCTGGAGATTGAAGGGGTGAATCGAGATCGAATCGATTACCTGCAAAAAAAAAATTTTTGGGTTGTTTTGTTTCAATTTTTTTTTGTTTCTGGGAAAAAAGGAGAAGAGTGGGGGAGTGGGATGAGTGGTCAAGGAGGGTGGGGGGATGTTGGCGCGGGTGGGATCTGGGTTTTTGGTTGTGAAGGAAGGAGGGAGGTGGAGGGGGAGATGGAAGGAGTGGGGGGAAGTGAGGGTGATTTAATTAATATTAATTAATTTTTTTAATTTGAATAGGTGAGGATGTGAGTCATGCCGTTGCCATTTCATCATTTAACAGTCAAATTTAACAGAAAATTTAATAGAAGTCTGACATTTCAATAAATTCAAAAGACGAGGTATGACATTGTAATATTTAAAAGATGAGATATGAGATTGTCATTCGATCCATAATTAAGGTAGTTTTGTGTAATTTTTCCTATAAAAAAATTCAAAAGTAAAATTATAAAAATAAATAAATGTGTTAATTTCTCTTTAAATAAACATTCATTAATCATATTACCACTAGGGAACACAAGTGTTATCTTTTATTAATTAATACGTCCCGCCCAAAGTTATCTACTCGTTTTTTCACAGTTGAAGCGAGCAGTGGATATGGCGAGCACGAGTGTGAGTGTAAACATCATACGGCCTTTGGCTTCTCCTGGCCTTCAAATCCCACCACCACCTCAGTGGCGGCGACCACACCGCCTCGGCCTTCGTTGCTTGTCCTGTGCAATTTCTATTGACAAAACCTTGGCGGAGATTGAGAATTCTGGTGTCATCGCCTGCCTTCGCGCCAACAGGTGACTCACTCTACCTCATAAACAAGATAATAACGTTAAAAATATCTCTACAACTAGTTTCAAATTACTGCATAAACTCCAAACAAGTATGATTTTCCATAAAGATCGAAATAACTAAGGCTTCTGATACGGTTTTGACGGGATATTCTCCCTAGTTTCCCCAGAGAAGTTAATCATTTCGATCACAGCACAGCCTGTGTTGCTATGTAGTTTTATTCATGCTCAATTGGGTCTCATATGGGATTTTTAAAAGTGTGGAGTGATTTAAACACTAGCAAATCTAATCGGATTATAAATTTTCGGCAATCCAAACAAGGCAACCTTCCTCCGAAACTGCAGCATATGACTTCTTTGCACTGGAAAGACTAAGAAACAAATAGGGGCGGCTCTTTTTAATGTGTATTATATAGTACCAAGAGTCAAATATTTGTGAGGTTTAGGGGGCGCAGCTGACGTTTTAGCTTGTGATTCGCTTGTTTTTGAGTTTATGTTATGCTTCTTGCGCACGGAAACCTGCTACTAGATTTACCATGCAACCTTTCCTGCTTGTTCTGCATTGTGTTTGAATGATATTTCTTATTTATCTGAAAGGATAATAGTATTCGATTTGACTTCTTTTGGTTTACTTTTTCTCTAGTCGAAAAGGAGTGAATTTTATAACAGGTTTTCGGACTTACTCTTTGTTTTTCGCCTTTTGTAGTGCAGAACTGGCAATTGAAGCTGCTAGTGCTGCATTTCTTGGTGGAATTTCAGTTGTGAGTTCTCTGTTCGTAACTTTTCTATTTTTGCCTTAAATTTCATAAATGAAGTTGAGTTTCCGTCCAAGATCTTCTCCTAATAGCTGACTTAATGTTTTAGTCTATGAGTTAGAGTTATAATATTCTCATATTTGTGTAGTAATTGAATCAGTTGCATCAGTTTCAAATGTCTGAAAGATATTACTAGCTCACAGTGGAATATCTGCCAAGTACTTGTATCAGGTGGTTAAAGCTCCCTGGTGTGGGTATTTTAAATTCTTTACAATCCTTCAAGCCTTGCATTTAGGGAACTATTGCCAACTTCATATGGTCGGAAGAAATACCTGTCGTATTACCCTTTTTTCACCAGTGTTACGGCTCTCATATAGTAATAACGATAGTTTTCTTATTCTGCATAAATATGCTTTTGTTAGATAATGGTTGTTTTCTTATGCTAGGGAGATAAAGCATTTTCTATCAAGCCCCGCTTCTCTTTCCTTTGCTAACATGACATTAAGCATGACATTTACCGAAAAAGCACCAAGGGAGCGCAACACCCTTCTACAAAAAATGTCTGCTGCATGTTTGCATTGTTTATAAGACTACAGTATAGTTATTTTTTTTTATATAACCACCAATGATGGGTTGCTGATAGTTTATTATCTTTTCAAATGCAGCTGGAGATTGTGATGTCGACCCCAGGTGTCTTTGAGGTTGTTTAAAGTTTTGAACTTTCTTTTTTCCCTATTAAAATGGTCACTTAGCTCTGGTGCTCATGCCTTTTTTTTTTCACCCTTCCTGCACAGGTTCTACAGCAGCTAGTACTTGACCATCCTACAAGATTCCTGGGGGTAATCATCTTCTTCCTCCTCGATATCTTGACATTTCATTTTCAATTTCTTGTGCGCTCTAGGTCATGGTGTTTGACACAATAAATCACCAAAACTTTAAAAACAAAATTACGCACTTATTCCCTTGTCTGCATTATCTAACACAAATATTGGTTCATGTGGGTGAGTCTGAGTCATACATTATCCTTTTCTTGGATGTTATCTGAAATGTGACTTGTGTAGCATATATGTTCTAGATGGGAAATTTGGATTTTAACCCTTGATAGCTTCTCTTTCTAAATTCCAATCACATCTTCTGATAAGCATTCGGAATGCAAATTCTGTATTTTTCTAGAAATGACAAGATCAAATTGTATCCCATAATAGAAACTGTGATTGGAACCATCATAAATTAGTTTCTCTGAAGTTGCCAAGGGGCCTGCAGGTAGGAACTGTACTAAATGTTGACGATGCCAAAAGGGCAATGCTAGCAGGAGCTAACTTCCTTATGAGTCCTGCTATGGTGAAGGTAAGCATTTAGAAATTTCTGTACGCTTTTTCTTTACTTAAATATTGAACTTCATAGGTATTAACCACAAAGTGTATCTCTCAACTTCTCTTATCTTCATCTAATCTAACTTTTAATTTGGAGTGAGGGTAACCGTACCCATAACAATGAAGAACCTTTTATCTTCACATTAGAGCTTATCTACTAAGTTCTTGGAAATAAATGTTCCACATTGGATTCTTAACAAGCCTTGCAAGGGCTTATAGGATGTTGTCTCATAGATGTACATAGGAGTAACTTATTGTTTTGTGAGACTACCAACTTATCTTTGTAGACATGTCCATTCCTTTTGGCATAGCATACATATACTGATATACTTGGCCAAGAAAAGCCTCCTTCACTTTTCTCTGTTCTTCTCCAATCACTCTGCTTTCCTTATCATCGTCTCATGTAACTTGTAACTATTTCCATTTGTTATCAGTTATATCCCATGTTCATGTCTTCAAATATCTATCTCATATTGCTTTTATTAACTCAAAAAATTTGCATCAGGATATTGTGGATGATTTAAGGTATAGTGAAGTTTTATACATACCTGGTGTTATGACCCCAACAGAGGTAAAACCATTTCTTATACTTAAAACTGCAACTCCCTTCAATCTCTGAAGCTTCATGGATTTACAGTTGAACCTGTTTGACCTATTTTAATTTTTAAAATCTCTACTCTTGTAGTTATACCAGAAAATCTAAATGCATTTTACATATCATGGTATTGTGATGGACATTGCAAAAGACTGATCAACTTTTCCTTAACCAATTTGCTACTTGCAGATATTGTCTGCATATAACACTGGTGCCAAGATTGTCAAGGTAATTCTTTGCATTCATCTTTCTCACATGGAAGTTGCATCACGACAGACATCTTTATCATAGACTATCGGTTTGGAGTCCTACTCGGACAAAAACTAGGAATATGAGAACCAAATATTAGTGAATAATCATTATAAAACATGGTATCAAGACTCAGCGAAAAAGATGTCCACCAACATTCTGGTACAACTTTGATAAAAAAACAAAACCAAATTAAACATCCGAGGTCATAAGTCAATTATAAGCGTCTTCTAGTAGCTTCACTGAGCTTAGTGAATGAAATGTTTCCTTTCAGTTGAAAAATGAATTATAGAGTGTAGTGAACTTTCCATGGCTAATTGTGTATTGCACTGTCCCATAAAGTTCAATTTCTTATGCATGCTTGTTCAGCTCTGCACAAGACTTGTGGAATCAACTGTCTTATATTGGTGAGCAGGTATATCCTGTTTCTGCATTAGGTGGCACACAATACATATCAGCCATTAAAAAGCCTTTTCCTCACATCTCAATGGTTGCTTCTCAAGGCATAAAGATAGGTTGGTAATTTGACTCTCCTGTTTCTTTTAAAGCCTCAGTGCAGCCATCACGTCCTGTTAGGACTCGGAAAATCTTTAGTTTATGTCATGTGAAAGAAACATAAGGTCCTAGCAGCTATCTGATCAATGAAAATTCAGTAGTTCCAGCACTCTGGCTGGTAGCTTTTTTCTTTTATGTGAAAAGCATACGTTCCTAGGAGGTGACAAGAAGGCCTTTCATCATGTTAGCTGTTTTTTGGGTATACGTTAGTTAAAACTTATAACTTAAAAGAGATCGAAATCTTTCAGGATTATATTGAGCTAAATTTAGTTCCAGTTGTGAAATTATTACTCATATTTCAGGTGTTGTTCAACATCCTCCGGAAGTAAATGATTGGATTTGAGCAAGGACACCTGACTTACTATTCTGATACTTTGTTCTTCTGATTGATACAGATGCAGTTGGGGAGTATATTGCTGAGGGAGCATCATCAGTTGTTTTATCAGATGCCATATTTGATAAAGAGGCCATGGATCGAAAAAATTTCAACAGAATATATCAACTTGCGAAGGCCGCAGCTTTGCATGGAAAAGAAGCTGTAGACCGGTTAGATTCTGTACTCTGTTTCATAGTCATTATGTCAACCCTTTAATCATTCTCATTTTAATCCTGTTATATGTATTTGACATATGAATGGTCCTCTTTTTCAACTTATCAAAATCCCTAGTTATCTAATCTAACTTTCCTACCAGATCACAGAGCTTCATTTTGCTCATGCTTTTATCCTTTATTCTCATGTTACATCGATCTTTAGATTATGGTCCAACATTTAATTGAATATAAAGGAAAGAATTAAGGGGCCGGACATCTATACAGGAGTCAGCAGTATACAACAAATGATCTATATATCTCCGGATTTCACTATTTTTATTGGCCTCCAACTGCTTGTATTGTCACGCAGGAAGAAAAAGCTCATGCTTAAGCGTTCGCAGTTGGTGTTCTAAACAGCTTATTCCACAACAAACGAAGCGTGAAAAATGTTTTGACTATGCTGCACATGTACTAGCATACTGGTAAAGTCAGGTAGTCAAGTTTCTCTTGTTTTCCCTTTCCTTTTTATACACTGGCTTCCATGCAACATATTATGTACCCTCGAATTGATAAAAAGTCGAGTCAGCATGTACTTTCCGGTTCCATAGTAATCATGTATTTGAAGTATTTCGCTCACTACCTAGGACGTTTAAAGCATCGTGAACCTTTGCATGCATTCATTAGTACTGACATTATAACTGTTAATCCAATATTCTCTTCACTTGATTCTCGCTCAGTCTGCCGGGAAACTGAAAAGAGTTGAGATCAAAGGCAGGCATGTTCCATTTGTATAGCTTAGAGGAAGAAGAAAGTGAGCCCCGTGCAATCCCTTATTTGGTCAGTTCTTTTTATTCTTAACGAGGAAAATAAAATTGCCGTGAATCTATTTGCTCTTTTGTAATTGATATTAGTTAATATTGCTGCATTGCTCCTCTTTGGCAGGATGAACAGTTTGTTGTTGAAATGCTTTAAAGTTTAAAGTTTCAAACCAGGAATGAGAAACCAGTACTTGGCCACCTCAGAATCATTTGACAAGGAAGAAAATTGAAAGTAAGTTTGTTTCGACGGTCTAGTAATTTACAAGTCTTGGTGCATTCGAGGCAGGCTTAGAATCGCATGGTATCACCAGTACACAAAATGAGGTATAGGAGTATGGTTCCTAGTTCTATAAAAGAGAATTTTGTTGTTCCGGAAATTTGATCAAGGCCATTCATAACTGTTTGATTAAAGTTTGACGGGGAAACTGCCGTAGACTGTACAGAAGTTGGTTCGAAGGATTTGTTAGTAATTTAAAAGAGAAGTGATTTTCACACGCTTTTTTTTTATCCCTACTCACTCATCGGCTTTGACACCGGCTCCTTTTTCTTTTGGTGTGTTCATTCGGGATGGCTTTGACACCGGCTCCTTTTTCTTTTGGTGAGTTCATTCGGGGTGGTGTCGAAAGAGTTCACATTCGAAACACTAACATTTTGATCTTGAGAGATTCAAGATCTATGGAGCGCTCGGCCAACTCCTCCCCACCAAATAGCCATTAGTTTGCAGTTACACAAGTTTTTTCATACTTCATCTTTCCCCATTTTCATCAAATTTTTTCAGTTTGCTATGCACCTTGCATTCTCATCTATTCATCTTGGGGAAGTAAATGGTCTAACTTTTAAGAACACCTAATTGCAAAAGGACTACTTAATAACTTTTTTGATAAACTCTTTCAAAAACATTTATGATAAGGGTGATCTCAAGCCAACAAGGCTTCCTTCTTTGCGAGGGTCAGTGAATGTCTATCGTACGCAATCTTATCTTTGCTTTGCAAAGAGGCTGTTTCCACAACTTGAACTCATAACTTCTCAATCACAAAGGAGCAACTTATGTGTTGCGCTAAGGCTTGCCCTCTCAAAAACATATAGGATGCAGAAGCCAATTCTTTAGAAATGTCCTACAACACAAGTTTATTGTGAAAATATTAATTTACTACCGCCTCGGGTTTATTAAATCTAATGAACTTACGAAAAATGTACCTACAACTCAAGTTTCTTAAATCTAATGAATCTAATTTGCATTAGGCTTATTGAAATTTTTGGACCTACAACACATGCTTGTTAAACATACCCCAATATATGAATATGCTCGAGATTTTCACATAAAACAGAGTTTCAAATGCTCTGGTAATTGCTCGGAATAGAGGCTTTCAAAATATTTGCGTGGAGGAAGATTCTAAATAGGTCATTAATGTGGTTGAAGGGAGATTCAAAATACTATGGAGAATCCGATCTATCATTATGGACATTAGAAGCTTGATGTCTTCCTTCCAAAACATTACGTGGAGTCACAACTTTCGGGAGGATAATTTTCTTGCAGATGTCACTAATGTAGAAATGGGTAGCTCCAATTCTTATTTTTGGGATTGCACTATTCCTATTTATGTTGTCCGTGCTCTAAAGTTTTTTTTTAACAAACGATATTATTTACGCTAAAAGAGAGAGGGTGTGTTTAGTCTCATAACGGGCTAACAATAATATGGTTCAAACTCACCTTTAACGAGAATCAAACTTAAGATATCTTCGCTTAAGTACTGGTTCGTAGTTTTTTCTTTAATGTATTTCTCATGAAAAATATCATTATGACTTTAACTAAATCCTTCCTGTATACGTGGCACTTCATGATAAGTCCTTCCTGCAAATCTACAAACTCTTACGTAAGCGTTTGGCTTTCGAGAAAGTGTCACCACTCGGGAAAAATTTTCCCAACTTTTCTCGAGAAAAAAAAAACGAAAATTACAAACAGAAAACCCTAATTTCCCAAATGAAGTGTGGTGGCGGTCCTCATTCCTCATCCTAACGCCGTCTCTGCATCTCCCGGCGATCAGATGCAGTGGGAATTGGCAATCTGACCGGCGAGAGAGCTCCACCACTTCAGAGACCGCTACTTCCTCTCTCCATTGACCAGGGTATCTCTCCCTTTCTCTCTCTATATGTATAGATGTATATTTGTATATATGCATACAGTATATTACTGTGTGCGAGTGTATAATATAGCTTGTTATTCCAATTGCTTGCTGTTAGGAGCTTGTTTGGGTAATATGCAAATTTTCATATGAATAGGTAATGAATTTTTCCCTGTGAAAAGATTGAAGTCACCACCAATCTATATGAATATGCACTTCACCTTCGTTTTCGCAGAATGGAAACAGTCAATTGTGACCTATTTTGAGTTACAACATGCAATTCTCCTGTAAGGAAATCAAACTCTTACTTGCTTTTCTCAATGTAGTCTGTGTAATTTGAAGAATTTGTTACTTTATACTGAACGTAGACGAAAGACTAGGACTTTGTAAAATGTAGTTGATTATTTAGGTCTCCCCATCCCCTTTCTTCTTTTCATTGACCAGAGTGTTTTTTTTTTTTTTTTTTTTGGGTGGGAGGCTAGAGATATCTGTACATTTACAATTCTTTTGTCCCCTGACCTCCGTTTTCTCTGTGATCTCAAGAAGTATAATACATATGGGATTGTATTCTGACAAATAGAAAGAAGAACTGAAATCTCTTTAAGGGTTGTTTATCATCATTCTTCAGTTCCAAAAAAGTGCATTCTTTCTCTTTTATTTTGTCTTTGGTAGTAAATACTCGGTTTCTGTGGTACAGGATGTTAGATGAAGTTATGAGATGTTAGATGAAGTTTACCATTGTGTGTGAATCCCTGGGACACTTCCACATTTGTTAATTGGCCACTATCATTTTATTTTTTTATTTTTTTCCTTTGATGTTGAGTGAAAGTATCATTACCTGTGAGATTAATCTAATAGGAGTATGGGTAGGAGCAGTAAGTAGTAGTTATCATCATTATATGCTGAGCGTAATTTTATTATTTGTCGTATGATTTCATATCTCATTAATAAATACACTTTCAATAGTAGGAGATATATGTGATTTAGAAGTAAAAGTTTGATTCATAGCACAATTATTTCCCAATATAATGGATTAGGGAACATAGTTCAGTATCATTTCCGGTCTCCTACATGGAATTGTTAATTCGTACGTGGATTTTTAGTGGTTAGAGTTATCAAAATCTAGAGTCAATTTGCTGATCATATAACCCTTTGACTGACCATCATGACCTCTGGCAGACGTGTGATTGAAAATCTTACATATTTTGGTCGTTTTCTTGTGAATTAAATATATATTATAGTTGTTATATCTTATACTAGGGCCATCATGATGGCCTGTTCGGGAGATTATAAAGGTGGGTGAAAAACTGCAAGTAGTAGTTGATCTTGAAAACCAATATGCATTGTTTTTCTTTCTTTCCTGTGTTGATATGCTTGAGTTCCTCAGGATTTCATATAATTACTTACCACCAGCAAGTTTATGTTCACCGTATTTTTTTCATATAGTACCATACTAGTTATTGGTTTATTTATTTGTTATCAATTTCTTTTAGGAGTTAGGGATGGATCACTACGACCTGCATAGACAGAGAAGGGATTTGAAGCACAAAGGAAGAAATGTTGGAAGAAATGTTGTATGGTCACTTGCAATGGATAAGTGTTTAATTGATTGCCTTGCTATTCAAGCTAGACATGGAAACAAAATTGACAAGAGCTTTAATGAACATGCTTACACTGCTGCTTGTATTGCTGTGAACTCTCGTTTCAACTTGAATTTAAACAATCAAAAAGTCATTAATCGTCTTAAGACCATAAAGAAGAGGTATAAGGCAATGAAGGATATCCTGAGTCAAGATGGGTTCAGGTGGAATCCCACTACAAAGATGATTGAGTGTGACAATGAAGAACTTTGGAAGAGATACATTGCAGTGAGTGGATTTCTTCTTTATTCTTTCATTTTTCATGCTTCTATTTATTGTATGCATATTGGTGATATTGTTAATTCCATAAATAGGCACATCCTGATGCAAAAGGGTTTCGAGGAAAGCCAATAGAGATGTATGATGAACTCAAAATTGTTTGTGGAAACTATCAAGTCCCTAGTCGCTGGGCTAAGATGAAAGATGGAGGCCATCCAAGTGAGATGAAGAATTTTGAAGATGATTCTGCCTCATTTCTTTCTCCAAGCTCAGATGACCTAAGTGAGACAGACGGAACCGAGTCATATAGTGGACCAGAAGAAGAATTTACCAAGTTGCCAGATGGTAGTCAAGACCCCCCTCTGATCCAGCCACTTAGACAACTTCCAAAACGCCCTCGTGGCTCAGAAGCCGTTCAGGATGCACTGATGACTGTGGCATCAAGCATTCGTTGCTTGGCTGATGCAATGGAGCAAAGCAAATACTCTATTGATGCCTCTCAACTACTACAGGCTGTGATGGAGATTGATGGTTTGGAAGAGGCTAAACAGATGTATGCATTTGAGTATTTGAATGCTGACCCTGTCAAAGCTCGAGCTTTCATAACATACGATGCTCGGATGAGAAAAATATACTTGTTTAGACAGTTCTGGTGGTGGAAGTAACTGTCAATCCCAATTTTAGGGTCCTTAGGGTGTATAGTTCTCAAGCTTACAAGAAGACTTGCGTTTGTCGGGTTTCCAGAGGCGCATGTACAGATACAAGATATCTGCAGGTTCAGTATCATATATTGTTTGCAAGAGTCATTTTCACTTTGTTTGCTGCATCTTTTGAAAGTTAAAAGACTGCAGTCACCGTTTATCTGATGTTTCTTGTAAACCCAAAATAGCGGTTGTAGTTTTTCCCTTACGCAGCTCTGCCATGTGTTCATTGCGTCCGCCAATACCGTCTCCTCCCCTCTCTAAAATCTGTATGTTTTTCACTTGCATTTTGTTGATTTGGGTGGTGAAGTGAGAAATGCTAGTTGTATTTGTTAATCTTTGTTCGTGTTGAACACTAATTTTATCTTCTGGGACGGAAGAGTTTGGGAAATGCTGTACTATACCACTTATGCTAATGCAAAAATAGGGCAAGCGAGGGCATTCCTCCTCCTCCTCATCGACGGATGGCCGTCATTGCCACCAAAGGCAATGCCATTTCTACGGCAAGTCCGGATTAGAGAGGTTAATATCAGTCATCGCTCCTCCAAAGTCGCGCATTCGAAAGATCCTTTTTACAAGGGAGACGAGACGAGACATCTCTTCATCAAGAGTTACAAGGATGGCACATTGTACAAGCAATACTTGTTAGATCGGGCCTCAGGTATCCCCCTTTCTAGGGGACCATACAAGCAATACTTGGGGAGGCGGGAATCGGATTAGGGACCTCGACTGCAGGTGTATGCTGTCGTGCAAATGTACCAACTTAAAGAGAACGAACAGGTATTAGTGGTAGCTATTCTCTGTATTCGACCTAAATATAACGCACAAATAGCTCATAAAACTAACAATATATTTGAAATGTGAGAAGAAACAAATGAATGTATAATCACTGTAGGGTATGTAAACCAAGACCTCTTCCTTTAAATCTTTTCATCCAAATAAACCGTCCTCGTTTGGTCGATGTCATGGAATTTCATGTCATAAATTGAAATCTGCTGAGGAAACATGATCTGCATTTAAATATGGAAAAGAATACACCAAATACTGATATATAATGATCTTTTTTGCCCTATTCTTCCTCGAACATTTCGAGTTTGATCGTTTCTATAACTTTATGCGAATCATGTTCGCGGTTATTGAAGTGGCAGACGGCAGACTGAGACCGTCTTTATTCCTCTGAAACCTTGAAAAATGTATAGGACAAAATTATGTTATTGATACCATCCATTCTCGGATCTGTTTCAAACTCAGGGTCGATATAAAAGAACACCTGCAAAATGTAACGTGTCTTTCAGTACAGCAATTTTGCTTCTAAGCAATTAGTAATTTAAAGCACACTACTTACAGGCATGTCAATCTGCTCCCCTGGAAGAAGCCGCTGCTCCTCAAAGCAAAAGCACTGTATTTTATTGAAGTAAACTGCAGCCTGGGAAAAGGAAACATTACATTATCAGAACCCAGACATTCTAATGTGAAGTGCATGAAACTCCTAGAAGCAGGCTTTTAAGTTGTCAGATCGGAAAGGTTATTGAAAAATGTAATACCAAAACAATAGGCATGATTTTGGAACCGAAATAAAGTGAATATACATTTACACTAGACGACTCCTAAATCACTTTGTACCAGCAAATATGCCACAATCTTATACAAACTTATAACCAAGCTGATGGGCTGCTAAGATGGGGTTTCTCGGGAATCAAACAAATACAACTGATATTACTGTAAGCATTAACAATCCCAAAAAGAAATTCCGGCAAAGCGTAGAGAAATCACCCTTGAGCACATCCCAACAATCTTGGAAAACTGTCATATGAAAACCATCTGGACCAGGTTCTCACTAGCCCCTACCAAAATCAAGCGCAACCCAACTAATTTCTTCCTCATGATTTCATAAGCTGTATATACGATGGAAACTGGCACAAACCCATGATCCCTTGGCTCGTCATAAGTGCAAATGATTTCATGAGATATTTCCCATGACTAGTCATTTTCCCCACACAAATCTGCTTTCAATTCTAAGGCCACATTGACACATATTATCACTTGATACTGCAACAATTTGTCAAGGCATCTTTCAAATGTTTCGTTAGGCTGGCATTGATTTCATAGTGTTTCTATTTGTTCCTTCACTATCCTCAGACCACTCTCTATGTCAAGAAATTACATCAATATAATAAACTATCTTCTGAAAGCCAAGAAAATGGAAACTTTCAATGCATTGTATAGATCTATCTCAAGCTCATCCAAAAAAACCATTTTGTGTTACCACCTGTCTCTGGTTGCAAACTGTTGTAATTTTCAGGAAATCGTAAAACGACAGCATAGTTCAACCTTCAGGTACCCTCTTATGACAGCATATTTCGACAGCTTAATTACCTCGAAGGTGCCATCTAAATTTAGTAAAGAAGCATAGAACATCAAACCTCTCAAGATAATCAACATCAGAAGTAAAAATAAGTGAACAATTCATTTCCATGAGATCTAGATAATCAAGGTTTACAGAACCCAATAAGAATAATAAATTGAGACACTGTTCATACTAGAGTCTAGAAATCCAATTCAAACAAACATGACAAGGCACTAAAAGATAGATTATCAAGCGGTACCTTCATAGGGGTAACATTATATGTGGAGACACCAACTATTGGAGTTGAACTTCGATTTTCAGCAGTATAGAAAGCAAGTGCACTTTCTCCAGGTCTGACCCTTACCTTCCAGAAATAAAGCAAGAAGGTTACGGTAAAGCACCAAAATTGTAGAGAGAGGCTTTTCGTTGAAAAAATGTTATGAAGATTAATTATGCATATACGAACAAATAAATATATTGTGAAAGGAAAAACCTCTCTTTGTGTAGGAATAAACTTCCATTGCATTCCATCAGCCACATCAGCATTGAACTGCACCACAATCTCCCTGCAAAAGGATGTCATATAGAAATCTAAATGCTGGCAAATTTATTCAACATAAGTCACAAAATTACACATCTTTGAGAACAACATCGTTCGGAAGATGAATCCACCAATTAAATTCCGACTCATGATTCTAGAATAAGAAACAAAGGTTTTCATAATTATTTTTTTGAAAGTGAGTGAAACTCGTGTGTAATTGGGATAGGGGTAGTAACCGAAAGAATTCATTTACGAATACTTTAGGCTTTGCAGGAGGGGAAAAAGCAACAACAAAGTGAAACTTAAGGATTTACTAATTTCATAAACATAAGAAGAGGACAAAGCTCGGTTACTTTAGAAGCAGAACGCGGACCTATTTGTGACTGTGCCATCCTTAGCATGCCGAGCAATCTTCTGTTCAACACTCTAAAGAAAGCAAAGGTGCAAACCACTGTTAAATCAAACAAATTCGGAATGAAAGAAACCAATATTACAGTCCCAAAAATCGAAAAGAATCAGACCTCACGGCGTTGGATAGTGCCTCCATACCCTGTAGCTTGGCAGAATCTTCTATAGAGAGGAACAGCTGCATAACTGGCTGCCACCATTGCAAAAACCAAACCCATCAAGTAGTAAAGCATCTTGCGCGATTTTCGTTGCGTGGCAGCCAGAGAAGAATAGGGTCTCTGGATCCTTCTCAACAGAGACTGAGAATTAAATGGTAAGAGTTGACTACAACACTTGTCGAACGAGCTTAACTCAAAGCGACGCCACATATTCTTACCACCATGGCTGAAATGCCTCTGATATGCACTAATGCTACTTCCACCTCCATTGAAATTACAATTGGGTATGCATCTGGATCATCAAATCAATGAAACAACAAAAGATTCAAACTTGATACATGGCATTCACACAAGTTACTTCTCCAACTGCAATTTTAATCCCGGAAGCAATTCCCGCACATTTTTTTCCCGGATTCTGCATATTGCTATTTAATCCTTGCCATTTAATTGAATAATCCAATCGAGACTCAAGGGACAGAAACAAACAGGGTCGTGCGGAACGAGAAAAATGGTGTAAGGAAATCATGTCCTTTTAAGCAATGGAGGTATTTACCTGGAGTGGAGAGTGAAAAGGCGGGAGCTGTTGAGGTAAGGTGAGAGGGGGAGAGCTCTCTTACAAACCCTAGACCATGACATGGTTGAAGAGAGCGAATTTCAATTGATATTCACCACTGGCAGCATCTCTGCAACCAAACAGACAGTAAGAAGACGATGACTCTGCAAAACCCTAATTTTGAAATTGGAGTTTTGCTTCAGCTCGCAGCAAAAATCGGAACAAAAAAAAAATTGAAAAAATCGAAGAAAAATGGCAGACCTGAAAATTGCCCAGAACCAGAACCGCCATTGAAATAGAAAGTTAATAAAAAGGAAATATTTTATACGTGTCGGGATATAACTGGTGTTTGGAAAGAAAGAATACAGACCTTGAACATTCACTTCCAACCTCCAACTCTCTCTCTCCGTCTCTTGCTGCGCCCCCGCCGCCGCACCCCAGACGTGCCAACCCCACCAACCACCTCCGCCGTGCTATTTTCTAGAAGAGTTCAAGCCTTATTTAGCTTCTCTTTGGCAGTGTGTTAGAGACGAAGATGAACAATCCAGCTCATGATTTTCATGAAGAAGAAGATGACCAGGGGGACATATTTCTTGATGAAGATGACATAATCCGCGAATCCGCTGTTGATGACGAAGGTCCTCATCCATCTCTATATATATATATATTTGTGTAAATGTATGTAATACATATGTATTAATATATTTTGTGTAAAGAATAACATGTAAAATTTTTGTTAATTTGTGGTGGATTGCAGATCTTCCTGATGCAGATGATCAAAGTGTTGGTATGCTTACTTCTCTAGAACCGATGTTGTCTCCGACACTAATGATTTTTGTTTTGTTTTTCCTCGTGAGTTAATTCCATTGATTTGGTATGGTATGTATGAATTTTTTATGGTGGTTTCAGATGAGCCTGATGACGATGACTCCGTGCACACGTTTACTGGCCATACGGGTAAGTGGCTCAGTTGTTGTGCTTCTTTCTGCATTTCAGCTGCTGTAGACATTATGGGTGTGTTTGAAAGTGCTTTTCAGTTGACTGGAAACACTTTTGATGAAAGTGCTTCTGGGACCATTCTTTAGTAAAAATGCAAGTGAATCCTGGAAAAACACTTCAAGTGCTTCCTGCAAAAAGCACATAAATGGTGCTTCCTGCAAAAAGCACTTCGAGTGAAACTCAACCGCAATAGAGGCAAAAAGTTAGAGCATTAGGCAGAAATGTTTTATGTTTTTGCATTTTTATTAACTTTCTATTGTGGAGGGATGTCAGAATCTTATATTGAAGGGATTTTCTTAAGGTGTGATTGTTGTAGACATCACTGAGATGAGATGCAAGGGTTAACATTTAGTTCACTGTCGAGTCGCATGGATTTTGGAACTTTAGATTATTCTGCCCCTCGATGGAGTTATTGACAGTTGCTTTCTTGTGCTAGGAATAGGAAATAAAATATATATGATATGTTACTGTTTATTTTATCTGCACATGGGTTGGTTAGGAAATAAATGTTGAGAATGAATTTCACATTGATGAGAAGAGAGACGTTGCATGTGCTTAAAGTAGTTGAGCTACCCCCCATTTTGCCTATTGGTTTTATGGTGGAACCTCAACTTCTTCAATAAAATCTGTATTAGCTTTGGCTTTAGCTTGATGCTTTTCCGCTTAACTTGGGCAATTCTATTTCTTGGATTAATTGAAGGTTTAGGGTGTCAACTATATTCCTTTCCTTTCTGGGACAGGTGAGCTTTACACAGTTGTCTGCAGCCCAACTGATCCTACTTTTGTTGCAACCGGTGGTGGAGATGACAGAGGGTTTCTTTGGAGAATTGGAGTAGGAGATTTTGCTTTTGAGCTCCAAGGTAGGTGTAAGAGAGAATATCTGCATACTTTACGTCCTCTTGTGGTTTTGGCTGAACCCAACTTTATATTAGAAACCTAGCTCAAAAGTACCAAACGATGTACTCATTGGATCTTATGCCCAAGTTTAACTTCATCTATGCTACTCTGCAGGTCATAAGGATTCTGTTTCTAGTTTATCATATAGTACTGATGGGAAGTTGCTTGCATCCGGAAGCTTAGATGGAACTATTCAAATTTGGGATGTAGCGTACGGAGTTGGAAAAATAACTCTTGAAGGTCCTGGAGGGGGCATTGAGGTAAAAAATTTAGGCTCTATTTCTTACTGTGATTATACTTTATTAGAAATTTAATATGAGCTTTGTGATTTCTCAGTGGGTCAGGTGGCATCCTAGGGGGCATCTGGTTCTGGCTGGTTCAGAGGACTGCACTGTGTGGATGTGGAATGCTGACAGTGGGTCCTATCTTAATATGTTTTCAGGCCATGGTAGTAACGTGAGCTGTGGTGATTTTACCCCTGATGGTAACTATTCTTCATCTTTGTACTTCTATCTGTCTGCTTCTCTCTCACTCCCTTCCTCTCTTTTTTTTTTTTGTAACCTGTTATCTTGCATTTAATTATTTAACTGATTCATAAAGCATTTTGATGTTTTTCTTAACTGTCGCCGTTGATTTATGTTTTCATGTCTTTTGCTGCTTGCTTAAGGTAAAACAATATGCACTGGTTCTGCTGATGCAACTTTGAGGATATGGAATCCAAAAAGTGGCGAAAACATTCATGTCATTCAAGGTATCTGTTCAAGCTGTCTTATAACTTTCCTATGTTGTTCCGCTGACAAGTTAGTTGAAGTTTTGGAGCAAAAGACAATATAGAAAAAAGGTAGCATGAAACCTTGATTGCTTTAACTTGTGAAAACACGAAGGAAGATATGAATATGCTTGATCTTTTTGCTTACTCTACCTGTGACCATTTGATGTTGCAATGTTTTGACTTCATTAAGAAGCTACCGATTCAGAACCATAATATGACAGAGCAGAGAACTCCTATACCAAACATTGATAAGGATGATGCTCAGATGTTTAGTTGTCATATATCCGAGAAGAATGATATTCGCATTCAGTATCTGAAATTTTGGCCAATATACACAATATCTTGGCGGAAATTTGAGTTTTTATGAGGTGTCAATACAGAAAATTGGGCTGAAGCTCTGTCTTTTCATCCTTTCACGAATTTGATTACCTATGATGAATTTCTTTTAATTTATATTTTCATCTTCGTTTCGATCAGTTACCTTACCTAAAGTACCCTTTTCTATCATGGTGCTAGTATCTATCATTCCTTATGTATCACGAGTTAATTCCTCTGCATCTGGGCATGCTAGTCCTGAGTTTTCAGCTTTTTTGCATAAACTGTGCAGACTAAATCTGTCATCTTCTACTGGTCTCAATATCTCATTTTTTTCTGATGCTAATGAGTTGTGCCATGTTTATCTTGCTAAAAGTTGGTAAGGTTAACAGGAAGTGAAGACTGAACTGATGTTGTTTCTGATATCCAGCAGTTTTGTCTATTTGAAACTTGTGGCAAAAACGGTATTTGCTTGTCCTCTTATTGAAAACTTTGACTTTCTCTGTCTTCTAGGTCACCCATACCATACTGCTGGATTAACATGTTTGGCAATAAGCTCTGATTCAACTCTAGCTTATACTGGTGCTGAAGATGGTTCTATCCGTATCGTCAACATAACTACCGGAAAGGTATGATGTAATTTTGTTACACTACGATTCCTAGTTGGTTAGTTCCTTGGTTTCACATCTAGAATTATCAGGCTTTTAATAGAATTCCTTTTTCCCCATCAACAGGTTGTTAATTCCCTGGCTTCACATTCAGATTCTGTCGAATGCATCGGGCTTGCACCAAGGTACATCCCAGCCTCTCGGACATTCAGATTGAACTGTAATTAATTATGATAGACTGCTGCAATTTTGGATTGATAAAAAGCTATTACGTGTTGACTTCTCACCCCCATCGTTTCCCGCCTTCATCCTAAATACGAAAGCATGTACAAGGAAACTTTGTGTTGTATATATCTTTGCAATTGCAATCAATGTGACTCTAAAGCATGTAGTAATCTTTCACTATACTCATAAATTAAATTGGGTATGGCAGCTCCCCTTGGGCCGCAACAGGAGGTATGGATAAGAAGCTTGTTATCTGGGACTTGCCTTCTTCATCGGCCCGTGCTACATGTGAACATGAGGTCTGTTGGAGTTTCTTCTTGTATAATGTGTACCTTTTCGGTTCTAACATTCCGAGTTGTTACGAGCATGTTTGCTTCCAGCCAGTATCATTGTAGATTTTAAATTGCTGCAACTGTCTAATGGAAAAATCTTATTTGTTGGCAGGATGGAGTGACATGCTTGACATGGCTTGGTCAATCAAATTACCTAGCAACAGGTTGTGGGGATGGAAAGGTTCGAGTCTGGGACAGTCGCTCTGGGGATTGTGTTAGAACCTTCAGCGGCCACACCGAAACCATTCAGTCTCTTTCCGTTTCTGCCAACCAAGAGTTTCTTGTTTCAGTATCTACTGACGGAACTGCCCGAGTTTTTGAGATTGCAGAATATAAGTGAGCAAAATATCCTACATAGTTTTGTAACAAGTACGGTCTTAGAGTTGTGCATTACTTACTTAAGAGAGTCTAGGCACCCAATCTTAATCTTCCCAATGCCTAGTGATTTATCGAGGTGGTGGCTAACCGTATAGTGCCTAGGCGGGGATTTTTAGAACAATAGTTTTAGCGGTTCGATTCAATTTCAACAACTTCTAGATATTCTATTTTCATCTTGGATATTCATTTCATATCCTTCACTATCACTACTATGTACTATTGAAGAATTTTGTCATTTTGTTACCGTTTCCTTTAGAATTTGTCTTTCAATTCTATGGCTTGAAAATTGTGGCATCATCGGTTTTTTTACAAACAATTCCTATCACAGTTAGTACTACAGATCAGTGATATTTTTTTTTACTTGTAAGTTAAAAATATTAAATTCAAATCTTGTAAAATTGTGTGTTTGATACAATATTTACTTTTATATTGTAATATACATATCAGTGCAAAAAATAAAATCAAAATGAAAACAATTTTCCACCGAAAAGAGAAGTCAGTCTAGTAGAAAAGCAAGCAATAATATTAACCTTGATGCATTCCCACGCATCGACTCTTTTTCCTACACCAATTTCCGCAAGTCCTATCAGTCATTGATTCTTTCTTCCTACACCAATTTCCACAAGTCCCATGAGTCGTGAAAAAGTGAGCAATAATGCACTCCCACGCATTGGTTATTGTTTCTTGTACCAAATTTCCACAAGTCTAGTCAACGATTAATTTCCCCAATTCAACGAAATTCCTATTTACACCGAAAGAAACAAGAAAACGAAAAAACACGGTTTTGAGTAACTATATCACT